GCAAGAAGACCTTCAACAAAATTCAACAGCCCTTTATGCTAAAAACTCTCAATAAACTAGGTATCAATGGAACGTATCTCAAAATAATAAAAGCTATTTATGACAAACCCACAGTCAGTATCATACTGAATGAGTAAAAACTGGAAGCATTCCCTTTGAAGTCTCGTACTAGACAAGGATGCCCTCTCTCACCACTCCTATTCAATATAGTGTTGGAAGTTCTAGCCAGAGAAGTCAGGCAAGAAGAAGAAATAAAGGGTATTCAGTTAGGAAAGAAGGAAGTCAAATTGTCTCTATTTGCAGATGACATGATTGTAGCTTTAGAAGACCCCATTGTCTCAGCCCAAAATCTCCTGAAACTGATAAGCAACTTCAGCAAAGTCTCAGGGTACAAAATCAACGTGCAGAAATCACAAGCATTTCTATACACCAATAACAGAGAGAGCCAAATCAGTAGTGAACTGCCATTCGCAATTGCTACAAAGAGAATAAAATACCTAGGAATACAACTAACAAAGGATATAAAGGACCTCTTCAAGGAGAACTACAAAGCACTGCTCAATGAAATAAGAGAGGACACAAACAGATGAAAAAACATTCCATGCTCATGGTTAGGAAGAATCAATATTGTGAAAATGACCTTACTGTCCAAAGTAATTTATAGATTTAACACTGTCCCTATCAAGCTACCAATGACCTCCTTCCCAGATCTGGAAAAAACCACCTTAAACTTCATATGGAACCAAAAGAGAGCCCGCATAGCCAAACAATTCTAAGCAAAAAGAACAAAGCTGGGGGCATCACGCTACCTGACTTCAAACTATACTACAATGCTACAGTAATCAAAACAGCATGGTACTGGTACCAAAACAGAGATATAGACCAATGGAATAGAACAGAGGCCTCAGAGGCAATGCCACACATCTACAACCATCTGATCTTTGACAAACCTGACAAAAACAAGCAATGGGGAAAGGATTCCCTGTTTAATAAATGGTATTGGGAAAACTGACTAGCTATGTGCAGAAAGCAGAAACTGGACCCCTTCCTGACACCTTACACTAAAATTAACTCCAGATGGATTAAAGACTTAAACATAAGACTTAAAACCGTAAAAACCTGAGAAGAAATCCTAGGCAAAACCATTCAGGACATAGGCATAGGCAAGGACTTCATGACCAAAACACCAAAAGTATTGGCAACAAAACCCAAAATAGACAAATGGGATCTAATTAAACTCCAGAGCTTCTGCACAGCAGAAGGATAGTCATTAGAGTGAACCAGCAACCAATAGAATGAGAAAAAAACTTTTGCAATCTACTCATCTGACAAAGGACTTATATCCAAAATCTACAAAGAACTAAAACAGATTTAGAAGCCAAAAAAAAAAAAGAAAAAAACAAAACATTCAAAAGCGGGCAAAGGATATGAACTGACACTTTTCAAAAGAAGACATATATGAGGCCAACAAACTTATGCACATCTATGATGTTCGTTGTGGGCTTTTAATTAAAAAAAATGCTCATCATCACTGGTCATTAGAGAAATGCAAATCAAAACTACATTGAGATACCATCTCACGCCAATCAGAATGGCGATCATTAAAAAATCTGGAGACAACAGATGCTGGAGAGGATGTGGAGAAATAGGAACACTTTTACACTGTTGGTGGGAGTGTAAATTAGTTCACCCATTGTGGAAGACAGTGTGGTGATTCCTCAAGGACCTAGAAATAGAAATTCCATTTGACCCAGTAATCCCATTACTGGGTATATATCCAAAGGATTATAAATTGTTCTATTATAAAGACACATGTACACGTATGTTCACTGCAGCACTGTTTACAACAGCAAAGACTTGGAACCAACCCAAATTCCCGTCGATGATAGACTGGACAGGAAAAATGTGACACATATACACCATGCAATACTATGCAACTCATCAAAAAGATGAGTTCGTGTCCTTTGTAGTGACATGGGTGAACCTGGAAACCATCATTCTCAGGAAACTGACACAAGAACAGAAAATCAAACACTGCATGTTCTCACTCATAGGTGGGTGTTGAACAATGAGAACACATGGACACAGGGAGGGGAGCATCACACACTGAGGTCTGTGGCGGGTGTCTAGAGGAGGGACAGTGAGGGGTAGGGAGTTGGGGAGGGATAACATGGGGAGAAATGCTAGATATAGGTGATGGAGATGGAAGCAGCAAACCACATTGCCATGTATGTACCTATGCAACAGTCCTGCATGTTCTGCACATATACCCCAGAACCTAAAATGCAGTGTACAATATAAAACATATATATATATATATATAACAAAGTGGAAAAAAAATAAAAATAAATGTTAATGTGCATCCCAGTGCAAAAGGTTCCTTCGGAAATAGTCAGAACCCAATAACTCCACATACAGTTTTTGAATCAGGGTCTTAGAAATGTTCAAACCAAATAAATTTAGGGAAGATGTATTAAGTGCCAACTTTGGTTCTTGCTTGCATGACATCAGCAAAATGAAAGAGAAATAATAATAGATTTTGTTAATAATTCAAGACAGTAAAGAGAATGTGGTGTGGGAAAACGAAGGCATTTGGAGCCCGAGCTGAGTCTGAATACTGCCGTTGTTGCTTAACAGCAGCGTGCCCCTGGGAAGAGGAAAGCAGAGAACCTTTATCAAGTACCTGTCACGTGCTAGATGCTTTGCATGTCCTCATCTCATAATTGTTATAATGAGCTTCACTGATACATACAGTATCATACCCACTTTAAGATGAGAAACTGGAAGTTCTAAGAAGATAAGCATCATTCATCTGGTGTGTGACCAGCCAGGATCTGACCCTGGGGCCCACACTGCTCCCTTTCCGGGTGTTGTCTGAAGTGGAAATAAGACCACAGAGTCTGAATTAAAATCACACATGCATGTATGCACGCATACACACACACACACACACACACACACACACACACACACACACACACGTACGACTTCTGCTATTTATTCGAAAATTCAGGAAGAATACAAAGGGAGCAACTGTCAGCTAAAAATTGGGCAACAACCATGCCTCAGTCCTGAAACATTGGTTTTATGAGTTGGGTTTTGTATTTTATTATAAACCCATACTTTTCCAGGAGCTGCTTTGTGATCCACTGGGGAAGGAAGCCTTTGTCTTCACAAGCAGACTTTAAAAGGGCAGTAATAACATATATTTGCAAAGTGATTCAAGTATGTGTTTTAAAGAGAGGGAGATAGTACGTGTAACTGAGGTAGGTCAGACATATATCTGAAACCAAGCACAGGCCGGGTGCAGTGGCTCATGCCTTCAATCCCAGCCCTTTTGGGAGTTGAAACAGGAGGATTGGTTAAGGCCAGGAATTTGAGATCAGCCTGGGCAACACAGTGAGACCCTGTCTCTACAAAAATAAAAATGAAATAAAGAAACCAAGTGCAAATATATGTTGTCACAAAAAGGAGAATCATAGTAAAAAGCTGTAACTTCTACAGCTCAGAGATTCATCTCCATTTTTGAAAAGAAGTAGAGTCACAATATTCATCCAAGAGAAAGAAACCTCTTTGTTAAAATGGATGTGGTGAGAATTACATGAGATGACATAGGTGAAGTGCCCTGTCTAGCACCTGCCATGTGGGGAATTCTTGCTAAATGGTAGCATTGGTGAATTTTGTTGTCATTGCTGTTACTTGAATCTAAGTTGTAAGCATGTGAAGGACATGGCAGGCTTAAGGTTGTTTGTGTTCTCTTGTGTGGATAACCTTAAGCACGGAAGCGAGGCACCAGGAGGTCCCGGGCTGATTCCTCTGTGTTCCCAAGTCCAGGGCATTCATCTTGTGACCAAGAGCTGTTGTTGCCTTTAGCCAGGCTCCCTCTAAGCCCCTGTTTGTGGCTGATAGTCAGGTCCTAAGGTGAGTTTGACAGGTACAGCCCTTCAGATGTTACTGCAAGAAGCCAGTTTTGTCCTTGGCTGTTTCAATGCTCCCTTCCCTTACTTTCCTAGGAGACCCCTGATCAATGTCTATTGCAGCTGCTGGACAGCTGCCTCTCACTAAAGATCATGAAAACTCTAGGTGAATGGCAAAAAACCAATGCTATTAGTAATACTGAGACTTGGTAGGAATTAAAAGAAGGTTTTGTAACTTATAGGTGGAGAACTTTAGAATCTGCTACCTTTCCTCCAGGTTCTGTCAGGGCTCCTCAAGGCACATGCTGAGAATGCTGGGCATTTGGATGATGGCTTCACCTTGGTCCATTTTTGTAGCACCAAGTAATCCCATTAGTTTGCTCCTATTATGTCCAGCTTTCATCCCTTGCCTAGAGCCAGCTTTACTGATAAATAAAATTTAGATAATTCAGTTCTTCAAATTATAATGTTAAACCTAGTGGAAAAAAAGAGATGAGGCCCCCGAACAAGGTATTAAAGGGGACCTTTCCTCCTGCCTGCTTTTGGTTGTGTGAGGGATGGGAGGGGCCAACTTCAGGACAGAATCTGAGGTCATCCCAGAAGCTTCTCTGGTTGCAGTAGGCTTGGACTGGGACTTTGCCTCACACCAGGAATGGTTGATGTCATGTGACCAGTGAAATCTGAGATTTTTTTTTAAGCTAGATTTTAAGTTAGCCTGGAGCCCTGGCATCACTACTATGGGGGATGAGTTCTGCCGATTGAAACATTTCTGTGCCCTTTCAGACAATTTGCATTGTAAGAAGGAATTCTGGTCTTAGAGAAGCTGGCAGAGTGTCAGTGGATTTCTTTTGGCACAGAAATCCTGGGAAACATGGCCAGAGTTGTGGAGAAAAGTATTCGATTACCACCCTCACTTCTATTAGCCCCAGGCTGCACCGTCACCTGCAAACCCAGCCCTCCTTTTGCAATTGGTGACGAAGGGAACAGCCTTTCCCACCTTCATGCCCATGTTCCCATTCAATCCCCTGGTGTGTTTTGCATCCCAACTAGAATCATTGTTGAAATTCATTCTGTGCTTCCTAGGAACTAGCCAGCTGTGGATGGAGTAAGAAGGAGAAACACAGTCTTGCCCCTAACGTCGTGGCCTTTACCCGGAGGTTTAACCAGGTAAGCAACGCCCTTGCATGTGCCTATCCAGAGAGCAATCTGCTGCTGTCCCCTACAGGCTGCGAGCCCCTCCCCAGCCCAAGGCTGTCTCCTAAGCACCTGGCCCCAGATCCTCCTGCTTCTCTTCTTGAGTACCCACCTTTATCCAGTTTTGTGCCATTATAGTCCATTTTCACAAAGCAGATGGAACTGAGCATGCCTTTCCTATACTTAAACACTTCAGTGACTTACAGTTTCACTTAAGCTAAGGTTCAGTTACCTAATATGCTTTGCAACATTCAACATGGTGGATCTAGCTTCTCTCCACCCCTGCAGCCTCATCTCTTTTCCCTCCTCCTGCCCTGCCTTCTCTTACCTGATATACCTTATCTGTGTCCTGTCAGGCTCCATGTGTACTGTCTTCACAGCCCAGAATCCTTCCTCCCTGTTCAACTTCCAATCAGATCTCAGCCTGAATGTCATTTCTTCAGGAGTCTTCCCTGAATCCCCAGCCTGTATGAGGTCACCTGGTCGCACATCCCCATGTTGTACCCTGTACTCCGTGTGGTCCTTTATTAGTCTGTCCTCATGTTGTATAGCTCTGTAGCCTTTACCTTCCTTGCTGTCCTGGGAGGCCCATAAGCATGTCTATCTTGTTTATCACTGTCTCCCCCACCATCTTGCCCCATGTCAGGCATATCATAGAGCTTCATTAACTATATATGGAATGAATAGATGAGGTGCTCAGGAAGTACTTTTTAAATTGAATTTCCTTGAATTCCTGATGGCCTGGTCCCTGGCCCTGCACTACTTTAAACTGACTTGGTCCAACCAGAACCTGTGCTTCAGGTATGAAGATCTAGAATGATAATTGGAGACTTGGATCAACTGAGGGAGGTAGGGTATATTATTTCTCAGCCAGATCTGCACGATCTTCAAGAGAAAGCACCCAAACCTAAGCCTCAAATTATACTGTTGACAGGTTTTCTTCATTCTTATTTTTCTGGTTTCAAATGAGGCCAGTGGCCTAGAGGTTGCGTAGCATGTATGACTTGCCCCATGGGTGATGGGGCCTGGATTCCCTTTGGGCCCTCCCTCCAGCTGGGCCTTCTCTCTCGGAAATGCTTGGTCTTGTGCATCACTGTTGCTCAACCCTCTCCAGGCTTCTTCAGCCTTGAACTTCCTCCCCAAGTCCAGTGGGATCCTCAGAGAGGCACCAGCTTGTAGTTTGAAGATTGAGTCTGGAGTTGGCATTATTATTATTTGATGAGATCTAGTAGGAACCAAGAAAGACCTAGGTGCATCTGGAATAGGGGCTGCACACTGTTTTGAAAAGAGAAGTTCCAAAGCCTTTTGCTTCTTTTTTCGTTGTTTTGAAAAATCGTCTCTTTTCAACTGAGCTTAGTCTTTGAAAAAAAAAAAGTGTGAGGATTTTGTCAGGGGATTCATAGTTTCCTCAACAAAACTATTTGACTGGGAGCCAACTCAGTCCCCACCTCTGACCAGCCGCAGAGCTCCCAGAAGAAGGGCTGCTGGGGGCTCTGATGTAATCTGCTTTGCATACGGATGCCAGGTCAGCTTGGCAAAGGCAATGTAGTTTGTTCTGTGAACAGTTGTGTTGTGTCCAGCTCAGACCAAATGATGAAATGAGCCAGAAGCAAGGTCACTTTTTTTTTTTTTTTCAAACAATGCTCTGGGAAATGATCTTTCTGCTGGCCCATCAGCCCCTCAGAGAGCCAGCAACTCCTGGCCATAGCCCTGGTAGTTCTGGTTTGAAAATTGGCCAGAGGCCAGGCCTGGTTAGCCATTGGGGTTGCCTTCTTTGAGATGAACTCGTTGGCATCCCTTCCTGGCAGAACTTTTTTATGTGAGAACAAGACTGATCATACTCCAAGTAAAAGAAAGCAGGTCACTTACCTGTCTGAGCTTCAGTTTCCTTTTCTGTAACTGAGAATAATAGTAGTACTCTCCTTGCACAATTGTTATGAAGAATAAATGGAATATGAAGAGCTTTAGGACAATGTCTGGCATGTACTAAGCATCCGGATGTTTTGGGAGAAGACAAGAGAAATGTGAAGATCAGCTGATTGGGAGGAGGTTGCCAGGGGATTTGAGGCTTCTTGTGGCCAAACAGAAACCCAGAGGCTAGCTAGCGCTTGCCTGCTTCTCCATGGGATCAGAGTCCCTTGGAATTTGCTCAGGGAGTGGCTGAGATGGAAGAGTTTGGCCAAGTTCACTAAAGGTCTTTTATGAGCCAGGCCTATGTTACAACCCCAAGGAATACACTGTGTAGCACAGAAGTTGTCAGTCTTTTTTGGGTCATGGGTTCTTTTGAGAATCTGACTATCACATATGAATGTTACTCCAGAAAAAATGCACAGATATACAAATTTGCATTTAATTTTAGGGTGTTCACTGCCATCCTGAGGTTTCTGTATGGACATTTATGGGTCTGTGGACAGTAGGCTGAGAAACTCTGATCTCAGGGAGTCCAGCAGGCCTGGATTTGAGTCTTACCTCGACAGCTTAGCTGTATGATCTTAGGTTGGCTTTTGGCCTTGCTCAGCCTCATTGTCCTTATTTATACAACAGGAAGATCATTTCAAGTGATTATTGAAGACTAAACAAGAATCATGAATATAAATGGGTTACCCCAGTACTTGACACTTAGTAAACATTCCATGTAAGGTTGAACAAAGGGGGCAGAGTAGTGGGAGCTGTGAGCTGAAAGGAAGTTTAAGACCAGACCAAGAGGCTTGGGCCTAAGTGCAAGGTTGGGCTTGTATCACAAAGACGCTGAACATTTTGGAAAAGGTGAAGAGGGAATTGGGAGAAACTTGGTTCTAGTCTAGGCTTTGCTGCTAACCTCCTTTAAGGCCCTTCCTCTCTTTGGGTCTCAGGACCTTTTTATATTAATGGAGATTGGACAGGGCCAAATGTTCCCAGCTTTTCTCATGGACACATTTATGTAGTTCCTAATGGCTGAAACCCCAGCTCAAGCTCATGTAAGCACAAAAGAGAGCTTTATGGCTTATGTATAATAACTAAGTCTAGGGAGACACTGACTTCAAATATTGCTGAATGTAGGCAGCGGGGACAGTACCATCTGAACTTGGTCTTGCTCCCTCCACCTCCAGGTTCTGCTTTCCTCTGAGCTGGTTCCACTTCAGGTAGCTTCCCAGTGCGATTGCAGGATGGCTAGCAACAATTCCTGGCTTGTATCATATTCTGAGGGGAACCCCAGGAGAAATGACCTGCTACTTTTTCAGTAGCTCTATCTGATGTCCTGGAATTGAGACTCAGTGGCTCAGATTGCCCTGGCTTGTGGTCCATCTTGTTTGTTATGATCTAATTACTCTGATCAGAAAGACATGAAGCTCTAATTGGCCAGGCCTTGGGAAACAGACCTTCCTATGGAGGAGAGGTAGTGGGCCTAGGTCACATGGACTGAGAATGGAGGAGGGGTATTTCCTCAGGGAAAATCAGGGTGTTCTGGAAGGAAGAAGCTAAGAATGAGGGCCAGAAAGGAAGGCAGATACCTCTCATAATAGACCCTCTTTTCTCTTGTACTCTTCCAGTCTGCTCTGAGCTTTCTGCCTGATCCATTCTGTTGATACCTTGTCATTCTCAAGTCCTGTCTGCCCTCTGAACTCCCACGCTCATGAGCCTAGTCACTGAATGTTCCTGCTTCCTCATGGCTTTAGTCAAAACTATTTTAAAAACATTGATTGAGCACTTATGCTGAACTTGTTGAATCAAATACTGTGCTAAGCATTTTACCCATGTTATCTAATTCTTTTTTCACGTGCCTAATGAGATAGATATTTTACACTCATTTCATATATAAGGAAACTGAGGCTCTGGAAAGGCTGGAGTGCAGTGGTGCGATCTCAGCCCCCTGCAACTTCTGCCTTCCAGGTTTGGCTCACTGCAACCTCTGCCTCCTGGATTTAAGCAGTTCTCCTGCTTCAGCCTCTGGAGGAGCTGGGATTTATAGGCATGTGCCAGCATGCCCAGCTAATTTTTGTATTTTTAGTAGAGATGGGGTTTCACCATGTTTGCCAGGCTGGTCTTGATCTCCTGACCTCATGATCCGCCCACCTTGGCCTCCCAACGTGCTGAGATTACAGGCATGAGCCACTGTGCCTGGCCAAATTTTGCCTAGGAGCACATGCCAGATTTTCTCTGTCCCATTTTGTATTCTCACCAGCAATATATGAGTATATGGCTTCACTCCTTGCTAGCAATTGATATTGTCAGCTTTTTTGTGTTTTAGGCATTCTAATATGTGTGTAGCAATCTTGCTTTTCTCTGCCTTATCCAGACCACCCTTGGACAGTTGTGTCTGGTTCTGGATGCCTCACATGAGGGGTGAGGGTGGGAGTTATCTCACAGGAGTGGCATGTAAGTATTACAGTGACAAGAAGAGTAAGGGGAAAGAAAACATGTTATACAGGGATAGGTGGAAGATCTGTGAGTGAGAAGACTCAGGGAGGAGGTCATCAAGGTTTTCAAGCAATTGAGGAGTTCTTGATGGGGAAGCTGGGTTAAACATAATCTATGGGGCCTGATCAATAAGTGCAGGACCCAAGGGTTGGAAATGGGGAGGCAGTTGGCCTTTTCCAAATATACAGAAGTTCCCTAACCAGGAAGGCTCAGGCAGAGACCAGGCAAGGGCTTCATTAGTATAGAACACTATCCAGCTGTCCAGGCAGGGAGTAAGTGGGACCTCTAAGATTCTTTCAAACTAAGCTCTTGGTTTCTAAGAAAACTGTGAATGGGCTTATGAGAAGCTTGTGGCAAAAGTAGGTTGTTCATAAGAAATAATAGTATTCTTAAATCTGGATTTTTCTTTTTTTGTTTGTTTGTTTTATTCTTTGATTGTTTTTATTTGTGGTTGGTTAACCAAATAAAGTTTTTTGTGTCCATAGCTATTCTGGTTTTTAAAAAATATATATATTTTATTGCACTTTAGGTTCTGGGGTACATGAGCAGAACATGCAGGATTGTTGCATAGGTAC